CACCTGATAGGTAAGTGGATGCTGTGGCCCATAGACCTATATCTATCCTCGATTAAGAATCAAAATGCAGATGTGTTCGCACCCCTGAGGCCTAAGATAGAATACTTTGTTTCCGGTAAAAAGGTTCTTCAGTTCCCCACACCCACCGTACTGTTAGGTTAATGACTACTATTGTTAAGTTAATAACTACTATATTATTGTTTATAATGGAATTACTTGATAAGTGATTTGACTTTATACTATAATTGCTTTTGTTAGATTAATAACCACTATGTTATTGTGTTTAAAGGAATTACTCGATAAGTGATTTGACTTTATACTATAATTATTATTTGTTGCTTACATTAATGAATGCGGATAATGGGTAGAGTTATATAATTTAACCGGAAGGATAATGTTTTGATTGCTGTAAAAGAGTGCGGCGGAAACGACGCCGCCCCACCTTGCTAACAAGTATAAAAGGTTGATTAGTCGATTGGGAGAGGCATTCGCTCAACGCTTGTCGTCGTAGTTAGACGTGAAGTTAAATTGAACTGTGTATAAGTTAAATTGTGAAGTGAAATAAAGTGTAAATAGTTGGAAAAACTATTTTATTTTCTATCTGGTCTTGAATAGTATAACAGATCAGAAGTGGGATAAACAGGATACATATTTAATTATCTTGCCACGTGCACCGCTCGAATAATGTAAGTATTTTTTTTTTATATAAATTGATAATTGGCATATTTTGCTATAAAGTATAACTGTATTGATTTCAAAGTTTGACGAATAGTTAAGAAGGACATTTATATGATTAGTTTTTTTTACCGTCTTTTTCGTATACGTCGTGAAATTAAAAACATAATGTTGATGATGAAATTCCTTTTCAATTATTGATTTCAAAGTTTAACGAATAATTAATTAGGCCATTTATGTGATTAGTTTTTTTTACCGTCTTTTTTTTTCGTATGCGTCGTGAAAATTAAAAACATAATACTGATAATGAAACTCCGTTTCTTTTGGTGATACACGACATTATGAAAACCAAATAAATTTGTCAATATTATAATTATTGTAGTATGATCAACTGGTACCAATAATAGATATAATGACTAAAAGGACCTACATAGCTTAACTATTTTTTGTATAACCTTTAAAGGAGAGAAAAGTTCGAGTTCGCGCTAGTAGAGGAGTTCGCCATGTACATTAAAAGAAAATCTCTGGACAAGTTCTAAGCTTATACCTGTAAGTTTCAGATAATTGGAGACAACATGGATGATGAAATTGCTCAAGGACAAGAGCAAGGAGATCGGATGACCCGAGGAAAGGGATTGAATGAGATTTGTGACGATGCGACCAGTCGAGGGGAAGGACTGGCGCATCTAACTAATCAAGGAGCACCAAGGAAGGTGCAAGGACGGAATTTCAGCCCGTTATTGATACGGAAAACGCCCTGCTCGAGGATAGAGCAGGTGCGTTACAAGGATAAGGAGGGACAATCAAGGTTGGGAGTACGGACATGGTATCAGACTAGTGAGTCTGGTAGCGAGGATGGAAATGATGGAAGAAAGAAAAGGGACAAACGGTCAACTCGCCGTAGACTGGAATCGAGGAGTAAAAGAAAGCGCGATCATTCGACATCTTCAGAGGATGGTGCTTCACAGCATACTAGGCGTCAGCGGCAACGTAGTATAAGTAAGGAACCAGAAACTAATATTATATTAGATAAATTTTTAGATATTTTAAGTAAAGTCAGGAGCTCGGATAGACCTAAACTTGCTTTCAACACTAACGTCATACCAGAATTTGACCCTTTGTCGAAAGATCAAACCATTTTAACTTGGATAAACAAAGTAGAAGAGTGTGCTGAAATTTATAGCTGGGATGAGAAAGAAATTATCCATTATTCATTACCTAAACTTAGTGGTGTTGCCAAAAGCTGGATTCAAGGATTACCTTCACTATTATATACATGGCCCGAATGGAAAAAAAAGTTATTAGAATCATTCCCCTGCCGCGAAGACTACGCCGAGCTTCTGACTGAAATGTTATCTAAGAAAGTAAAATACGGCGAGTCACTGGAGCACTACTATTATGCAAAGATCAATTTATTAAACCGTTGTAAAATTTTCGGTAGACAAGCTGTGGACTGCCTTCTTTACGGTGTTGAGGATCGTGCTATTAAAGTGGGGGCTCAGGCTGCTCATTTTTCTGAGCCTGAGCAGGTTCTTAAATATTTTAAGACTGTTAAAACAAGCCAATCCCGGCCAAACTTCGACGCACCAATACAAAAATATAGCGATCGTAAGGTTCTACTGGCGTCAAACCGACTCGGGCCGTCTAAAACTAATTCATTTAATAATAATATTAGGTGTTTTAACTGTAGCGAAATAGGGCATCCTAGTTTTAGGTGTGATAAGCCTCTTATAAAGTGCACAATTTGTGAAAGATTAGAACATAAGTCTAACGATTGTTATAGAAACAAATTAGCATCTGAGCCAGGATATAACAGGATGAGAACTTCTAATGATTCTAAAGATGAGAAACACGTAGCGAAAGTAACTTTAGGTGACTGCCCCTGTGATATATATATAATCAACATACAAGTTAATGGACGTTCTACAACCTGTTATGTTGACTTGGGGAGTCAGTGTTCTTTAGTTAGGTTAAGTGATGCAGAAACTATGGGACTCGATATTAATTCCGAAACTAAGTTGCCCGTACTAAAAGGGATAGGGTCTAACTTAGTAAGACCATTAGGCGTAGCGCTAGCCTCCGTAACAGTGCAAGGCTTAACGGAGGATATAGAACTTTACATAGTTGACGATTACGTTCTTAATCACCCAGTATTGTTGGGGCACTCATTTACAGAAAAATCTGATATTTTGATTATCAAAACCCCTAGTAAATTGATCTTCCAAAGGATAACCCATAACAAAATTCGTTTATTAACCGAAAATTCCACCAATATTCCTAGTAACGCATTGCAAACGGTCGAAGTATGTACCAATACGGACATCGATTGTGACATTTGTGTTATCGGATCGCTACGTGGTTCAGCTGGAAAAGAGTTTTATATTCTACCTGGAGAATACGAAATCAAGAATGGTCGAGGTGCTCTCTTAGTCTATAATATATCGACAAATGATATACGCATCGGAAAGAATTCGCTTTTAACAAGAGCCCTACAGAAACATTCAATGCCTACGGGTTCTATAGGTCACGTATTGGATTCATGTAAAGTCATTCTTGATTCAAGTGGAATAGATGAAACAATTAACTGTAGTTCTCAGCTTACTGATGAACAAACTCTTGAGTTACAGAGATTACTTTCGAAATACAAGGAGTGTTTCTCAAATGGACTTTATGATCTTGGGTTTACGAATGCTACAGAAATGGTAATTGAGTTGGAAGACTCTGAACCTGTCGTTTACCGTCCCTACCGCATGTCTTATACTGAGCGACAACTAGTAAGAGACATGATAAAAGAGATGGCTGACAGTGGAATCATAAGAGAATCATCATCGCCCTATGCCAGTCCAATTGTATTGGTACAAAAGAAAACTGGTGAGAAACGGCTATGTGTCGACTACAGGGCTCTTAACAGAAAGACGAAGAAAACTCATTATCCATTACCTCGAATCGAAGATCAATTAGATTTACTAGCAGGTAATACTTTATTTACATCATTGGATTTGGCTTCTGGCTATTACCAGATACCAATTTCTGAAGAATCTCGAAACAAGACTGCTTTTGTAACACCCGACGGGCAGTATGAATTTAACCGTATGCCGTTTGGGTTGGTAAATGCACCATCTGTGTTTCAACGCACCATCAACAAAATACTTATGGAGGCTAAAATCAAGTATGCCATTGTATACATGGATGATGTGCTTATCCCGTCTAAAACCTTTGATGAAGGCATTGTGAGACTAGAAGAAGTACTCAAGCTTTTAAAGAGAGGAGGTCTAACCCTCAAGTTAAGTAAATGCAATTTCTTCTATAAAACTATTGACTTTCTAGGATTTGAAGTAAGTGCTAATGGAATCCGCCCAGGTAGTAGGAAAACAGACGCTGTCTCAAAATTTCCGAAACCTCGCAACCAGCATGAATTAAGACAGTTCCTTGGATTATCTGGATTTTTTAGGCGTTTCATCAAAGGTTATGCTACAATCACGGCATCATTGACTAGCCTTTTAAATAAGGACTCTTGCTGGACATGGGGACCAAGCCAAGAAGAGTCCTTTTTAAAAATTAAGGAAATGCTAGTCAACCGACCAGTGCTGGCCCTTTATGACCCTAGTGCAGAAACAGAACTTCACACAGACGCAAGTAAGGAAGGTGTGGCAGGAATATTGCTGCAGCGGAATTCAAAGAACATATTACAGCCCATATCTTATTTTAGTAGAAAAACAAGTGCACACGAGCGTCAACTTCACTCATTCGAACTCGAAACTTTAGCAGTGATTGCGTCATTGAATCGCTTTAGAGTCTATCTTATAGGAATATACTTTAAAATTGTAACCGATTGTAACGCCCTTAGATCCACTCTGACTAAACGAGATTTGGTAGCCCGTATTGCGCGCTGATGGATCCAACTACAAGAATACGACTGCACGATTGAATATCGACCAGGCGCTCGAATGTCTCATGCAGATGCGCTTAGTAGAAACCCGGTGGACTGTTCATCTGAAGGTATTGCAGATGATCGGCAAATATGGGATGTGTTGGCAATAGAGTAAACCCAATCGGACTGGATAGTTACTGTGCAATCTGCTGATGACGAAATAAAGAAAATAAAGCACATATTAACGGACTCCGAGGCAGACCAATATGTTGACATAATCAAAAACTACAAACTTAAAAATGACCGCGTCTATCGAATTGTTGGCGATTCACTAAGATGGGTAGTACCTAAGGGAGTACGTTGGCAAATACTCAAAATGAACCACGACGACATCGGGCATTGTGGTTTTGAAAAAACATTGAAACGAATCCAAGAGCATTACTGGTTCGCTAAAATGCGCCGCTTTGTAAAAAAATATGTGACGTCTTGTCTCGAGTGCGCACATCACAAAGCGCCGGGAGGAAAACGTGAAGGAGAGTTACATACCATAAATAAGGTCAGTATTCCCTTCCACACAGTCCACGCAGATCACTTAGGACCCTTTGTCAAAAGTAAGAAAGGGAATAGCTATTTGTTAGTTTTGATTGATGGCTTTACAAAATATATTAATATTACTCCTGTTAAGAATACAAAGTCCGTGACAAGCATCCAAGTTATTAAGAACCACATAAGTTACTTTGGCTTACCCACGAGACTAATCACCGATAAGGGCACTAGTTTCACGAGTAAAATTTTTCAGGATTTTATAATGTCGTATGGTATCAAACACATCACAAACGCCGTTGCTACTCCAAGGGCTAACGGTCAAGTAGAACGTTTTAATAGGACGATTTTAGATGCTTTATCGGCATCTGGACATGGTAAAGACGATAAATCTTGGGACAATTATATACAGGATATTCAAGTCGGTATAAATACAACTAAGCATAAAACTACACAAAAGTCCCCATCCGAGTTACTTTTTGGATTTAATATAACCAGTAGGTCAGAAGGCATCCTAAGCCTTGTTATTAATGACACATTAAACGGAACTCCATTAGAAAAGTTAGACGAACTTAGGCAAGATGCTAGTACAAAAATTAAAGCACAACAAATTCAAGATGCAAAAAGATTTAATGAACGTAGAAAGCCCCCAACTAAGTACAATGAAGGTGACTTAATACGTTTAGAAAAGCAAGTTCCACACGACGGAAAATCACAAAAACTTGTAGTTAAATTTCAAGGCCCATATCGCATAGTAAAAGTGCTGCCAAATGACAGATTTCTCGTTGAAGATACGCCACTTACTCGTAAAAACAGTAGAAAATATGAAGCTATAGTGTCGATTGACAAAATTCATCCATGGATGAATTTCAACAGAGATTTTGAGTCTGATTCAACCGATAATAATACTGTTGACACCGAATAGTTAAAATTAGATTTTCATTGGTTATATTATAGAAACAAAAAAAAAGATAACTGTGGATTTAATACTAATTATAGATTTTATGACTGATAGTCAAATTTAAATTTTGATTTTATTATTTTGGTTTATATTGTATTTATATCTATCATGCTTAGTTTAGTTTAGGATATGTTAAATGTTTTAGAAACAAATTGTAATTTCATTACTTTCTTTTATACTTGCGGTGTTGTTTAAGTGTAGAAGCGATGGGACACGCTTTGAGTAGGATGGCCGAGCTGTTAGGTTAATGACTACTATTGTTAAGTTAATAACTACTATATTATTGTTTATAATGGAATTACTTGATAAGTGATTTGACTTTATACTATAATTGCTTTTGTTAGATTAATAACCACTATGTTATTGTGTTTAAAGGAATTACTCGATAAGTGATTTGACTTTATACTATAATTATTATTTGTTGCTTACATTAATGATTGCGGATAATGGGTAGAGTTATATAATTTAACCGGAAGGATAATGTTTTGATTGCTGTAAAAGAGTGCGGCGGAAACGACGCCGCCCCACCTTGCTAACAAGTATAAAAGGTTGATTAGTCGATTGGGAGAGGCATTCGCTCAACGCTTGTCGTCGTAGTTAGACGTGAAGTTAAATTGAACTGTGTATAAGTTAAATTGTGAAGTGAAATAAAGTGTAAATAGTTGGAAAAACTGTTTTATTTTCTATCTGGTCTTGAATAGTATAACAGTACGAAACACAACAGCATTAAGCTGATATTTTACTCTGGTGTTCTGTGAGAGCATGGTCCTTACCCCGGCGAGCTGACCCATTCATGCTACAACTATATAGCTGCAGCATGGCTCTACCACGTTTACCGCCACTAGCACCAACTGCACTACACTAGGAAAAACACACCACCGTCGATAATGCGAAACGTGTTTCTTCCCTAAAAAAGACTCCAATAGTAGATATAGACTTTGTCGAATTTGTGATAAGGTCTAATATTCCTTGCCTAGATTGATCATTCATGCACTTATTAAAATTAATAGTAATTACGAGTAATAAGTATTGTAAAGGCATTAAGAATTTAATAATCATAACTAGGTGGTAGGACTCCTGTTCTGCCTGGAGGTCCGGTACCACACTTCTCTACCTCCATATACAAATGTTTGTCGGCTATATTCCAGTACCTATAATTAGAGTGAGTGAGATACTCCATCTTACTCCTAAGTGACAAAGCATAATATATAGCTTTCTTTTCCTTTATTTGTACTTGACTGCAGATGTCCACCGACTAAAGTAGCCTATTGCCACCAAGAAGACTTAGGTTCCACCTAACTAAAAAAAAATCCGCCAAACAGTTGCCCATGTTAAACATTGAACTTTTGCGGATTGATCAAAAAGATGAAGATAAAGGAAATAATATTGGCTTATTCTGAAATGTGAGTGCTGTGGTAGCTCAGGGGCTAAGTGAATTTCACAGTACGCGAGCAACCTGGGTTCGGTATCTGCCGGCACCAATGATATTGTTAATTGTAATTATTCAAGTGCTTATTTACCACGTGCTTGGCGGCGAAAGAAATAAGAAAAAAAATTTTTCTAAGACATGTGAAGTTCGCCAACACGCATTGGTGCAGCGCGGCGGACATTTACTTGCCCCAAACCCCTCTCAGAAATTAGAGGAGGCCTGTGCCCAGCAGTGGGACGTATATACATATATTGCAAATTCAACTTTTTAACTGATATTGGTTTGGGAGGGGCTTGACTCAGCTGAAGTATCAAGAAACACTAAAACATTAAAAAAGCACACAACACAAAAAATCATAATTTGTAAAAGAATTTTAAAATTTTTGAACATCGATTTTAGCGCAAGCAGTGGATGTTCTAACCACCGGTCTTCCGGCTCGGTAACAACCATGTAACAACAGCAAAAAAAAAAAAAATAACACTTCAAGTTTTACTTCAAGCATAGAATCATAGCAAACCACATCCACAACTTTCCAACGACTAACCTATATCTTTGGAACTACCTTCTTTACCAGGATTGCCAATAATACTTTAAGGGCTTAACCTTTTATAAGATTATTAACCGGTTGATAAATAATGAGGTATAAAAATTTGAAATTCACGGCGGCGGAGGCGGCCGTGAGAAAAAAAGCTAGCTTAGAAAAAAGTCAAAATCGAACAAACCTGGTGATTGGTACTTTATGGTATTAAAATCATTTATGTACATAAAAAAAACATACAAATATATAAAATATGTAACACATTATAAAAAACTAAAATTAAACCTAAATTAACATACACATACCCCGCAGTATTGTGCCAAGAACTCTGGCTGCGTTTCCTCGCTGAATAGCTATACTTAGCCATTAAGCGAGAAAAGAAGCAGCCCTCTTATCACCAGCAGCAACGACCACTCGCGGATACAGTTCCTTTAAGAACTTCACCGCACGTGGACCCCTCGTATCAGCAAATGACACAAATATGTAATCATCACTTAGGGACTCATATTTGCTCCATTTACTCTAAACTCTAAACGCGATGTCCCTGAGTGACTGCCAAAGTGTCAACGCAAGTAGGATCCGACACTAGGAACTACCTGTGTCCCAAGTGACCAAATTCATACCACCGGGTCTCTTGCCTCACAAACAAATATAGAATCGAGAGAGGTTCAAAGAACCGTAATGAGACAATCTACCAGTACTTTTTTTACATAAAAGTCTGTAGATTCTACCTCCTCTCCTACCACACGGGCACTGATGAGGTTGACAAATCGCCGCTCCTAGTCAGATTCTGTGAATTTTTGCAATATCAGGGGACTTCATTCCAACCTTAACGCTATCCATTACCTTCTAGAGACGGCGAAGCCAGCCCTGCTCTTTTTAACCGAGACTCAGGCGTCCTCTCCGGCTGATACTTCATATCTCTTCTACCCGGCGTACACATTAGAACACTCCTTTGTACCCCGGGCTGGAGTTTGCGTACACGTCAGAGAGGACATCTGTTTTCGACGCCTCGGCAGTCTTGAAGGTACGGACCTGTCCATCCTATGGCTGCGCGTAGACAGAGACGGGCATTCCCGCGTTAACGGGTGCCTCTATAGATCCCATAGCGGCAATGCCGACACAGACTGACTCATCGACCACGTCCAAATGGCTGCAGACTCCGTGCTACAACAGGTCCCATCCACAGAGATCGTGATACTCGGTGATTTTAACGCCCACCACGCTAAATGGCTTGGTCTAACACAACTGGTTACTTCGCCTACGCGGATCCCAGATCTGGAGGATCATGTACATTCCCTATTGGACCTTATGCTGACCTCTCATCCGGACGGATATCAGGTCTCCGTCGATGCCCCTCTGGGCTTTTCGGACCATTGTTTGATCCGGAGTACGGTGCCACTCACGCTCCCATCACAGTTGCGATCTGCAGCTTACCACCGTGTTTGGCACTATAGGTCGGCCGATTGGGACGGTATGCGGTCTTTTTTTGCATCCTACCCTTGGGGGTGGATTTGCTTCTCGCCGGAAGATCCCAGCGTTGTTGCTGATTCTGTTGCTGATGTGGTACTTCAGGGTGTGGAACTTTTTATTCTATCCTCTGTGGTGCCCATCGGAGGCCATATCATTTCTATGTCAGGAATAAGTTTTCTTAAATTGATAGGGAAAATACGTACGGTGTTAATTTATGAAGCCTCAGTACGCTATCATTTGTATTAAAGCATTTTAAAGGAAATTGAAGATTTATAAGGAAAATATCACCCACGGATATTATAGTAATAATATAGACGAGAGTTTGAAATATTCCCGGGGATAGTTTATACTTTACAGCGTGTTTTATCATAAAAATGTCGTTAACGCAACAGAAAATGTACATAGTGAGCGGAAGTTCCCTAGATTTATTCTCATGTGGTCGAGTGCAACCATTTTTAAAAATTAAAAAAAATACAGACATTAATCTTCTCTATTGTATTTGTAGAATGTTATTACAATGTATAGGGTCACATGAAAAGGCTTTAGAATAGAATGGAATCACTTTTACTTAATATAATACTACTATCACTGGTTTGAATAAAACCCCTGTCCTGGGAAGATCCAGCAAGAAACCAAGCGGGACATTTCGTTCAAATAAGATTAATTTACAATAAACCACTTTATACAATTATGAAATACACAGAATGCATTTAACGAACAGAGCTAATCAACTATAAATTATACTGAGACTAATTTTGTAGTTGAGAATAATAACTAATTCATTTGCACGAATTAATTATGCAATGTGTCAAGGATGACCTAGTGACGGAATAGAACAAGTGCACCGTTCCACGCCAGAGCCAAGACTCCCTTAACGGCGTTTTTTTTTGCGCCCAGATGCAATGAAAAGGGCTACCCTCCGGGAAGCGGGGGAGGGAAGTAGTGAATGCTCTAAGCACACCACGCAGCCGGCTAAGTGGTTATGTGGGACCCACTATGAAACCTAAGTGCCTACCCACTAAACACCACCTGGGACTGGCTTTGGCCTGTATGGTCTTCCAGCCGAATTGGAAGAAATCACCTTTACGGAAAGGGGGCGCAAAGCGACCCCCTTTAGGGACTATTAATTTAGGTCAAAATCATTATTAATTTGGGTCCAAGTAATTAGTAATCATTAGTAATCTAATTGTGTGTTGCCAGTAATGACATACGGAACTGAGACGTGGTCCTTCACTGCTGGCCGGATGAGGAAGCTCAAGGTCGCTCAGCGAGCTATGGAGAGGGCTATGCGCGGAGTTTCTCTGCGTGATAAACTCAGAAATGAGGATATCCGCAGTAGAACTAGAGTGACCGACATAGCCCAACGGATTAGTAAGCTGAAGTGGCAATGGGCCGGCCATATAGCTCGAAGAACCGACAACCGATGGGGAAGAAAGGTTCTTGAGTGGCAGCCTCGTACCGGCAGACGAAGTGTTGGGCGTCCCCCCACTAGATGGAGTGACGACCTGGTAAGATATGCAGGAA